AAAATTAAATCCACCAAAATTTTGTTCCAAGGAAATTAATAGTTGTACCCATTTTGGAAGTGAGACAGTCACTCGCAACGCCTGTTAACCCCAATAAATTGGGAGCGACAAAAATTTTAAATGCCAATGACATATTAATTGCCAGTTATTATTATATATGAAAGGGTATTCTTCACAAAACTTTCCTCGTGTATTTGTTTTGAACAACGATACAATGTATCAAAAATTTGTTCAAATTGGACAACTATAGCATAAAGCTGTCATACAAACTTAAGTCCTAGTATGAAAGGACAAGACTTAAAAAGTTTGGCAAGAATTATTATCCAAGACAACGGTATGATCTCCGAACCACTATAGCTTATAGCCGCCATACTAGCGGACCGATAAAAATCAGAGTAAAGCTATTTGTGTGCACTTTATGCTTTAAAAAATACTACAGTGAAAGGTATTATAGTTTCGGTGCAGCCGAGGTTAACGTTTTTTCTTGTTTTTTTTTCTTGAAAGTTTGGCTGAAATGCATAAAAGTCAAAGAAAATGAAAATTTCATTTTATTAAACGTGCTTCAGCTCAGAAGACAGTTCTCAGCGCGAAAAGTTCTGCTTTTCACATTTTCCACAAGGGAGCTAACTGCAAAATCTTAGCGAAACTTTTTTACTACGCCAAGCAAACGTCTCTTTTCTATTCCAAATATTGCATTATATTCATTATCAGAAACAACCAATATATATGTATGTATATGTTGAAAGAATGCTGATAATACAAATATATTGATGCTTATGCCTTTGTTCGTATATAACTATATATGTGAACTCCAATAACTCTAGAAATAAGCTATTGGCTTCAGTAGTGGTGCACATAATGTGTTTGGTAAAAGTTATCGCAAATGAAATTTAGGTCAATCATTGTTTAGAAGCTAATGATATTCTGTCATAAAAAATATCTATTTTTGATTTGGAGTAATCTGAGTTAAAACTCAGTAGTAGAAAACGTTTGCCCCAACAGTAATCAGAGATTTAGCATGGAATATCCAGCGTTTTAAGTTAATTAATTAATGCATGACCTCTCCTAATAATATAAAAATATAATGTGGAATATTGAACGAACATTTGGTCACGGGTTGACAACAGAACGGCAAGTTTATTAGTAATTAATAGTAATTAACAGTCATGTCTGCTGTTCCACAAAATATAGTTTTGCTCACTTGGTTAACGAACGAATGGCAGCCACGACCAAATGCGAAGCGTGCAAAATGTATCAAAACGGTGCGGACACTACACTGTTTTTTTGGCACGCAAGGCCTGCAAGCAAGAGCGCCAGATAGCGCAGCATGTGCAGTAATGGGATTTGTTTCTGCATATCCTATTGATTACGTATACGTCACTTAAAATCAGCAAAGCGCCTGGTATAGATGGCATACCAAAACAGAGCCTTAAAGGAAGCCATGAGTTTAAAACCAAATGTGTTCGCAAAAATGTACAATGCATGCTTAAAAGAAGAAATATTCCCCGACCCATGGAAAGTTCAGCGATTGGTTCTACTACCTAAACCAAATCAGCCTCCGGAAGAAGCCTCATCATATCGACCTCTGTGCATGCTTGACACGATTGGCAAAGTGTACGAAAGCATAGTAAGAAACCGCTTGGAGTTAGCAATCCAGAAAGCCGGCGGATTATCAGAAAGACAATACGGCTTTATGAAAAAGAGGTCCACTATTGACGCACTAAACAATATCGTTGACACTGCGAAAAGCGCAGTAAGTGGAAAAAGATGGAAAGGCGGGACTAAAAAATACTGCGCCCTGATCACCCTGGATGTGAAGAATGCCTTCAACTCAGCAAAATGGGCAAACAATCAAGGCTCTGTGTGAAATACGCGCTCCTCAATATCTTGTAAAAGTTATTTTGAAAACAGATGAAGGCACCAAGAGCTACGCTATTTCGAGTCTTAGGCCCCCTTCTATGGAACGTGATGTATGATGGGGTGCTAAGAATAAACCAACCAGAAGCCGTGAAAGTAATCGCATACGCGGATGATCTTATAGTGGTAGCAGTGGCTAAGCAGCTAGATGACCTCCGGAGAAAATGCAGTGAATGCGTCACAGCCACAACTAAAGTATCTGGGAGTAATAATAGACTCAAAGCTTAAATTTAAGGAGCAAACAAATAAACACAGTGCACCGGCTGTCGGCACTAAGAGTAATCAGTGCTTTCCGAACGATATCCAGCGAGGCTGCGGAAGTAATAGCCAGTATGATGCCTATTGAACTGTCCGATGTGTACAGAGTGCATAGAAGACTCTGAGCATGTATTCTTTTATTGCCCTTGCTTTTCGAGTACAAGGGAAAAACTTAAAACTTCACTCGGTGGTAGTTTTATGGTGGACACTTATGTGTCAGTCCAGTGTGAATTGGAAAGCTGTCAGCGAAGCGGCAGCCTCAATCATGATAAAACTAAGATATATAGAACAGATTAGGCGTCCGTCAGTCCGTACTATAGAGGAGACTTAAATGTCTTATCACTCCCACGATGTAATACTTAATCAGGTGGTTCCGTGGGAGAGTCTTGAGTTGGGTCCGCACTACGGCTTTCGATGCTTCCCCCTACTTACAAAAAAAAAAAAAAACACGAATACGTCACTCCGCACGTGCCAATGGCTAATGTGGTGCACAAAAATACTGTACTAGCAAGCAAACTCCGCTTAAACCCTATCTGCCAATACACTAACTGTTGTTGTTATTTCACTATGGTTCCTCCATTTACACATAATTTAAACCTTCTATTTATATTACTGTCGCTTCTGGCAATTCTGCGCTTCCAGGGCATCATCATTTAAATTATGGAGAAAAATTTTCCAACCGTAATGATATTTTTTAGATTCAATGAACACGAAATAACATAACACTCGGTGTGTATTCTCGTGCTTATGCGACGGGATTTGAATTCACATCACAATTTTTTGAGAATCTGTTTCATTAAATTTTAATAATTTATTTCAGAATTGTCGAAGCAAAAAATTTAACAAAATCGAGACCGAATTTTTGTTTTTATTCGTTTTGCCAGAATTTTTTTTTTTTTGCCTTTGATAAACTTAATTTCGAAGTATTCGCTAAGACTTTATGTTCACACTTATAAATCATGGTAGTAATTTCACACTATATTAAGCAATTGTTATTCGTTACAGTTGCATAATTGCATTTAAAGACATTTAGTTAGTTATTTGAAACTAATTTGGTTTGATAGAGCAAATATTTTTTAAGAAAGTCGTTCTTAGTCATCTAATATTTAAAATATTAATGTTACGTTACGTGTGCTCGAAAAATAAGGTGGAAATTTCGTTTTTTGAAAAAAAATTATTCATTCTTTTAAACTAATGTTGTCGCTTTCAAAATAGTTCCATTCCGATATTGTATATTTATGCCAGCGCTTCTTTCAATCGTCGAAACACTTCTCAAACTCAACTTTTTATCTTTAGTCTGGGGCATCGTGACAGTATTGTTTTTGGCTAAGGATTCACGAAAAAGAACCGAAATGTGAGATTTTAACAAACGAAAATCGACAAGCTTATAAAAGCACGTCTTACCTCAGTGGATGCTACAGACAAATTAGGTAATATATACAGTTTAAAATGTTATCGTACGGACATGTAAAACTCCATATTAAAACAAAAATACATGTGGCGCTCGGGGACTGTCGCGGTAAAGCTTTTGCACAGCATTTTTTATCAACTTATGCAATTTAATTACTTATATATTTTTTATGCAGTATTTTTTGTTTTTTATATAAAATAATTCAAGTTACACTTTTTGAGCGAGGTGATCGATAAAAAAACAAATTTTTTTCTTTTATTGAATAACTGAGAATACACATTTATATAAGTTATTCAGGAATTTATATCATTGAAAATACAGGTTTATGGTAACTCAAATCAAAAAGATAAGTTTGAGACTTGATATTCTTTAAATATCTGGATTCTTGTGGATCATTATTCATTTTTAAATTCAATTTTTCCGAAAGAAAAGTTGTCAACCGCTCTGATTTTTTATCAGCGAAGTTGATGTTGAAATCGCCAGTCAAGATAAGGGGAAATTTATTAGCATTAATAATCCGATTGAAATACCTAATAATGTTCAAACGAGATACTCTTCCGAAAGGTGGGGTAGCTATTTACCAAAACAATAATAATGTTACTAATATTATGAATCCGAATATTGAATCATTTATTTTTTGTTAATTAAATTTTTATTAAATTCCATATTTTTATTTGCCATTAAAAAATTATATCTTAAAAGTTATTATTTTTGAACCACCCTACTCTTCAATTGATTTGTTCCGCTTGAGATATGCGAAAATACGGCTAAACGTATGCAAACATTTTGGGCATACTTTGTGATCGTGTTGGGTTTGTGTCCCTTCCAGAATTTCTTGATTTGGTCGCCGCGCTCAAAGCCCGCGATTGAGACTATGCAATGGCTTGAAAATGTTGACAATTGGATTCACTAAAGCCGCGAAGTTTCGTTATTTACTGAACCCACCTCGTATCTATTTTTTATTTGGCGAAAAGTAAATTACTTATTGTAATTTTTGATTACTTAATTCATGTTATGTTAAGTTATGATATGGTATTCTATACTTTGTAATGCTTTGACTAACCAATTGTATTAAAAATCTTAGTCTTTTCTTTGTTTCGTAATTTTAATTATCTTATGAATATTTTGTATGCATTATTATATCAGCGATTTTTATTCCATTAAAATTTTTTAAATTTCTCTGCTTATTATAATTTCATTTTGTAAAACTTCACATTTTGTGCAAAAATAAGACCACGATTACTTATATGACTTTCTTTCTTCACATAGCTTAACGATAACAGCTGCAGAAGTATATTCGTGCCATAGTTTTGAGTTCAACTTTATTTTCCACCTTCAAGTTTGAACTGTGGCATTTTCACTGATTTTGTTCTTATATTCTCAATAATAGCCTTATATACATATGTACACTAACATTTTTTATGCCAGAAAAGGCGCGCGTTCGGCACAATATTCAGGATCGCTACACAACCATCAACGACGAAGTCCAAAATAAGACTAAACTAATTTGTTGACGACAGGCACTGATGATACGAGCAAATTGCACTGGAAAAGTCGTCCTAACGAGGGTTTAAGCGACAGCGCTGCTTAACGAAACTTCGAAAGTAAACGAATTGCCTACTTACTCACAAAGTCAGTGCTGCATCTATAAGTGCGTAGATGTGTGTGAGGATTTGCAATTTGGTTTCGGTAGCTAACCAACGACGAATGAAATTTGTCGGAGGTTGTGCTGCTAATGCCAGCTATAGTGAGTGTTATTGTTTGAGATCATAGGATGTGTTTGAAAAACTTGAAAGTATACAGAAGCTTTAAATATTACCTAGTTTTTTAACGTAAATAAGTTAAATATATACCGATTTTGTATAAAACTATAGGTTACTAGTAATAAATAAATGTAAGAAGAGTAAAACTTATTAACAATTAATAAATGAAGAGTAATTTCGAAAGGTGCTTAAACATTGATGTTAAAAGAAATGAGCACGAAGAGAGTTTATATCGATTTTTAACATAAGTGTGTTTAAAATTAAACCGATTTTGTATAAGAGTGAAGGTTACTTGCAATACATAATTTAATATATAAGAATTAATTCCAAAATGAGCGTGGAGACAGTGTGTAGAGATATTTAACATTATTGAATTATACTTAAACCAGTTTAGTATAAGAGTATATAAATACATATATAGGAAGTAATTTCGATAGATCCTAATATTTTGAATTTTAGCATTATGAGCGTGGAGAGAGCTTGCGCAGATTTTTAACAGAAGGGAGTTGACCTTAAACCGATTTGGTATAAGAGTAAAGGTTACTTGTAATATATAAATACAAAATATAAAGAGTAATTTCGAATGATGCTCAAATTTTGGATTTTAACAGCATATGTGCGCAGAGAAATTGTGGAGATTTTTAACACAAGTTAGAATAAAAATGAACTGACATTGTATAAGAGCAAATGTTTCTTGCGAAATATATAAATATATATGTAATAATTGGAATTTTGTGAATTAAAATTAAACCCATTTTAAGAGTAAAGATTACTAGCTGAAGGCTAAGGACATAAGTTTGCAGAGATTTTTAACAGAAGTGAGCTAAACTTAAACCGATTATGTATAAAAGGAAATGTTAGTAGCAAGGAATAAATTTACTTATAAAGAGTAAAATCAAACTTAAGTAATGAGCACGAGTATGAAAATAATTTTCATATAAATTCGAAAAACTTGAACCGATTGGCAAAAAAAATGTATGAAGAGTAATTTCGCACATGCATATATATTGGACGCAAAACTTCTCTTATTTCATTGTTGAACAAGTGGAGAGTTTTATACATTTTATTCAACCGCGAATTATGTGACATTGTCTTCTGACCATCTTAAGAAAATGCAGCCTTTTTATATAGAAAATCTTACCATAGAGAGTTCCGTAGTTACATTTTAAGACTTTTAACTGATACTTATACCTATTTTGGTCTATAATATTTGTAATTACTACAAAAATTTCAATTAAATAATTTATTATCATTTTATATTTATTCTCATCACCAACGTAAAGTAGCCTGTGTATCAGTTACAATTCCAACAACAACAATGTGTCTGAAGGCGTAAAATTTTAGCTCGTAAAAAGTTCCCTGCAATTGACTCAGCTTTACCAGTTCTAACGGATAACGAAAAGTCTTCAATGTTGAGGAATAACTCGAAGTGATAGATGAAACTAGGGTGCATTGCTACAGTTATGTTCTAGCTACTTAGTACTTTTATATTAATATTCTAATTGTACTCTTTAATTGGATAAGATTGAACCCTAACATTTTATTAAATAAATTTTTAAAATTTTTAGTGTGGATGACGTTAACCGCGGTTTGTATATTCGTATTCCACAAAGCCTCTGCTGAGCTTATATAAAATTTCTTAATTTAAGTACCTAAGTTAAAGTAAATTAGCTTAGTGTAGGTCAGTTTTGTTTACTCCAAATGTGAGTGAGCTACACTCAATAAGAGAGCAACTGCACAAATTCGCCTCAAATAAAGTGAGCTGAGTACTTCGAAATTCAAACTTAGCTCAAAGTAGATATTTCACTCAAGAAGCTAAATTGCTGAGTGCTCGAGTTAGTAATATGATCTCTTCAAATCAATTCCTACATGAGCGAAAGTGAGTAATTGAGTGAGAAATTGAGGCTGAAAATACATATTGTAAAATAATATTCAAACTTTATTTTGAGTTCGAGAGAGCAATGAAATCCGGTAAACGAAAATGAACTCTAAAGTTATGAGACAATAAAAAAAATGTATATGTATTGCAATATTTATTCAAGTAATAGTGTTGTGTAGAAGTGAATTCAAAAAAAACTAGGGCTGGGGTGTCATAAAAGTGTCTGTACGACGCCTTCAACAAACACACGCATTATCATACGCAGAATCCAAACGTGAAAATAAGCTTAAAAGAAATTAGATTAGTTGATATTTAGCTTTTAGCACTTTGAATCTATGGAATGTATGTATGTATGCATATATAGTCAGAGATTTTCAATATTAGTTGGCCTATTTTGATAGTATTTAAAGTGGCTAATAAAGCATTTTTGCTGCAGCGCAACCGAATGTTTATTTATTTTGTAGTTAAAAGGCAAAAAATTATTCTCTCCGTGTGGTGAAAATTTTTGCGTGATTTTTATACTCTCGCAACCTGTTGCTACAGAGTATAATAGTTTTGTTCACCTAACGGTTGTTTGTATCACCTAAAACTAATCGATTTAGCTATAGGGTTATATATATATGATTGGATGAAGAGACGAGTTGAAATCCGGGTGACTGTCTGTCCGTCCGTCCGTCCGTCCGTCCGTCCGTCCATGCAAGCTCTAACTTGAGTAAAAATTGAGATATCTATATGAGACTTGGTAGACATGTTTCTCGGTACCGTGAGACCGAGTATTGGTATTGCAGATGGGCGTGATCGGACCACTGCGGGCGTGGCACCGCCCTTTTTTAGGTGAAAACCCATATCTTGTTATCTGCTCAACCAATTTCAACCAAATTCGGTGCATAATGTTCCTTTTATATTTCTATGTCATAGTGCGAAAATGGGCGAAATCGGACTACAACCACGCCTATTTCCCATATAACACCATTTTCAATTCCATCTGATTCTTTCACTTTCCGCTATGCATATCAAGCAACAATAATTATATCAGGGCAAAACTTTGCGTGAATAATACATTTAAAGTATGCCACTTTGTGACCAAAAATTGTCTAAATCGAACTAAAACTGTTCAAGCCCCTAAGTACTAAATATGTGGACCCCAGTGCCTATAGCTGACCTTATACCGAAAATATCAGTCAATCCACAAAGAAACCTCAACGAGTATACCATTTGACTTTGCAAGAGTATAAAATGTTCGGTTACATCCGAACTTAGCATTTCCTTACTTGTTGTTAACTGATTTTGTTTGCGCAACAAACTGACCAAAAAAACTGTGTTCTTCGATGTAAGCATCAAATGTACATACTTTGGTTAAGCGCTACTAAAAGTAGCTTCAGATCAATAGATAAAGAAATTAAAGATTTTAGTCCCACAACCTTCTGATATGAGTTCGCTTCGTCCACATCAATAAACCCGGATTTTTCCTATTACATACTTTCGGAGCTCTTCATGGTGGTCAAACATACAGTTTTTTTTAAGTATCTGGTAGTTTTTGGTAAGATTCATAAGAAAATGTTAGCCCTCAGTTTTAAACTACGCAGATTATTGATATAAAAGAATTTGTGCAAAAATTTAAAAATAGTCCTTAACTGTCGAAATAGTTACATACGGAGTCATGCATTACTGTTTCCTGTTTACAAACTTTTGCTTTATACAAAAATTTATACTAGCTACTACTTAAATAACTGGCTTTTAAAAACACGCTTCCACTTGAACACTACTTAAAATTTAAAATGTATTAAAATGCCCGTTCCTAATTGCCCCGAATTATACTTGCTTGGATTTATGCATGCAAACATAAAGATTTGAATAACAGCTGTTCGAAAACTGTCGGTTAGATAGCATACATTTTGGCAATCAAAACAAAGTGGTATTTTTTATTTTTTAGTAAAATTCAGTAATCGTTTGAATGGAATCGATTTCTAAAACACGCAATCAACGGATAGTAAGGTTAAGACAGTAAATAATTTTATTTATATTTAATTTCAAATATAACATTAAAAATTTTGTATGTATAATATTTAAATTTTCAATTGTAGAAAAAAATTACAAATATTATAATGAATTTAAGCGTTCTAAAAGTAAATATAAACATATTAATAAATTGATTTCTACTTTTTTTACACAAATCATTTTAAAAGCCTATTCCAGCATTTCTACATCCTGTCCCTAATACTTCACCCTATACCATCATTACACTATTTTTTATAGATTACAGCTATAAATGCAAAACATTAATATATTTATGTATATCCTTCCTCTAAACATCTTGTTGCTTAGCTCTTTGTTTCCATTTTCTTTATTTTTCCTTCTCATAACACTTAAGTCCGATGCCATTTGCACGCGAAAGGTTAAACTGAATTATTCAGTGAAGCAATTTAAGAAAAAGTGTGCCTAAGTACGATGATTTCTTCTGCAAAAAATTTGTTCACTAAAAAAATGCGCAATGGAATGCGAAACGTTATTTTATTATATTAGGTTCTCTGTCGACTGTGAAAGTAAATTGTTGCAAATGGAAACGAAGATTATTTAATTTGAAAAACACTAATACGAAATACTTAAATAGTTCCGAGAAATCTTTTGCAGAATATCTTTATAACAGTAGTTGAATTTGTTTTGTTTTCATTTTAAATTTTTTAAGAATAGAAATATAAGTTGTGTTTAGTACTATAAAATATATATTTAAATTTGAAAAACTATTGAGTTATGATATAAGGATTTATCAAAAAACTCTCTTTTGTTCTAGCAAGGAAACTTCATTAACAAAAACTACCGAAATATAGTCAAAAATAGTAAGCAAATTAAATCGTAAATGTCCTGGCAAGAAATTATTTGTAAG